TCTCTGTCAACTAAAGTTCGTTTCAAGGCGTCAATAGCGGTATTCTGACCGTGGTTGCTGTTAATAACAGTGAGTTGTGCGATCTTCCGATCGCTTCACACACGATTTCGCCGAAATTAATAAAAACAATATTAAAAGGAATTTTGAATTAAATAATGAAATAAGTTACAAACATAAGTCCAGATATACAAAGAAAACTTTTTATAGCCAGACAGTGTAATTACATGATTAATTTGCGTACTTCAGTATGGATTTGTTGACATGGTTTTTCCGGTGTTACGTGCTCACGGTAATGTCTTTCCACAGGGGAAAAAACATCCGAACTCATAATTAGTGTATAATGTGCACCCCCTTCTACACAGCTGTGTTTTTTGGAAAAAAAGTGCGCACTATACTCAAGAAAATACGGTAAATATGTGTTCATTTCGAAAAAACAGAGATTATTATTTGAAAATGGTGTTTTCTCTTCCAAGTGGCGACTTGGTTGATTTGTCATTACTTGTAGACTCGCTGAAGTCTGGTATAATATTTAGAAATATATATCTAGGGGATGTAAGGTGTATATGTTGATAGTGAAGAGGATAAGAAAGAGATTATTTAGTACTTGTTCATTATGAATTCATCTTTGTTAAAAGTGGACTAACTGTGTTATGATCTCCCAGTGGGGGGGTTCTCCGGCCACGGGACAAACTGTATATGAATGAGTACTGTAGTGTAAACAATGATGGTGGCAAGTCGGGGATTCATTGGTCATGATGATGAAATGAAATTGTGATATGTTAGTCCCTGTAGACTTGGTGATGCAGATAAGAAAACTTCTGCACATGCAAACCCTTTATAATTTTTTATTTTTTTTTATGAACTATTTTCAAAAGTTATAAGTGAATTGCACATTGAAGGCTATAACACTTAACTACCGCTAACAATTCCCATTTCTTCAAAACCCTGATTTGTTCCTCACCTGTAGACTCAAGCCCCAATTTCTGTTTCTGGTTGCTTCCCAATTTTTAAACGGGATGATTAACCCAGAAAGTGGATTGTACAGAACTTATCAGCAAATAACCATACAAAATCAATGAATAGATAACAAATTAAATTTAACATTTTTTTTTTAGGATTAGATTTAAAATCATAAAAGGCAATACAATGTGTCAGATATGTGGCAGCAGCAATATATAATAGGTACTATTACATAAGTCCAGTCCAGTACTTGGCACAGTTGAATGTCTTGAGTGAGTCACATGCACTGATCCAGATTGCAGGAAATGATGTTGCTGCTGGCATATAAGGTGTTTTCAGATACCGTATTTTCTTGAAAAATCCCCAAAAATCACAGCTGTGTAGAAGGAGGTGCTCATCATATGCGCAATAATGAGTTTTGATGTTTTTTCCCCCAAACGCAAAGTTTCGTTTACAGATTCGAGTTTTATATGTATTGTTGATTGGAGATTGACGGACCAAGTTTTTGTACTTATCGTCACATGGCCGAAGTAAAGTCGGCTCGTATTGAGCTCGAGTTTTGTCATTAATACAAAGGTATTATATGGTGTCAGAAGTCATGGCGGGTCGAATGGACATTCCGCCAATGAATTTCGATGCCGCTAATGTGGCAGAAAGTTGGAAAAAGTGGAAACAGACGATAGAATTGCTGTTCAGTGGACCACTCGTGGCGAAAGATGAGAAGGACGAGTGTAGCTATTTTCTGTTGTACATTGGTCAGGAGGGCCGAGATGTATTTAATACTTGGACACTGACAAATGAAGAAAAGGATAAATTGCTACCTCTGTACACAAAATTTGAAAACTATTGTATTCCTAAAACGAATGTGACAATCATGCGCTTTCGCTTTAAAACACGTGTTCAGGGCCAAAATGAGACAGTGGATTCATATGTGACAGAAATCAAAACCCTCGTGAAAGAGTGTGCCTTTGGTGCGATTGCTGATGACATGGTTCGTGATAGAATAGTTTGTGGAACAAGTAACATACAAGAAGCAGATTTGACAGTAAATAAGGCCCTTGAAATAGTGAGAAGTTTTGAAGTGAGTAAAAAACAGATGAAAGAAATTCAGTCAGAGGCAGTTTGTAGCATTCAGAAGAGAAGTGGTGGTTATACTCATCAGAGGAAGTTAGGGGACAGTAGTCAGAAGCGATCAGCAAGTGCACAGGCTAGTGTGAAAACAAGTAGTGATATGTGTGAAAGATGTGGAAAATCCCATTCAAAGAATGACATGTGTCCTGCGAGAAGTGCAGAGTGTTTGAAGTGTCACAAATTAAGACATTATGCATCAGTTTGTAGGTCCAGAACAGTAGCGAGGAATCCACCTAGAACACAGAACTCAAGAGGGTCCGGAAGATGGAAACAAGGTCAAAGCAACCCAAAAGTCCACAGTTTAGAGACTGATGAACTCTTTATTGGGACAATAGAGGATAGGAAGGGTGAAAGTGGTGAAGACTATTCAGAACAATATGCAGATATTCTAGTGAACAAAAAGTTCATAGTACCTATGAAGATAGATACAGGAGCACATAATGCTATGTCAGAGAGAGACTTTCTAAAAGTCTGCAAGTTTGCAGGTCCTCTTGAGAAACCGGACACAAGGCTTTACGGCTATGGACAGAAGTGGTTGAAAACTGCAGGTATGACTTACCTGGAGAGTGTTTGAAGTGTCACAAATTAAGACATTATGCATCAGTTTGTAGGTCCAGAACAGTAGCGAGGAATCCACCTAGAACACAGAACTCAAGAGGGTCCGGAAGATGGAAACAAGGTCAAAGCAACCCAAAAGTCCACAGTTTAGAGACTGATGAACTCTTTATTGGGACAATAGAGGATAGGAAGGGTGAAAGTGGTGAAGACTATTCAGAACAATATGCAGATATTCTAGTGAACAAAAAGTTCATAGTACCTATGAAGATAGATACAGGAGCACACAATGCTATGTCAGAGAGAGACTTTCTAAAAGTCTGCAAGTTTGCAGGTCCTCTTGAGAAACCGGACACAAGGCTTTACGGCTATGGACAGAAGTGGTTGAAAACTGCAGGTATGACTTACCTGGATTGTAGTTACAGAAATGTGTCTGTACACCTAAAGTTCTATATAGTGCAAGAAGAGGCACCCTCAGTTTTAGGACTTCGAGCCTGTGAGGACTTAAACCTGATAAAAGTCCTGTTGAACATTGAACGCCTGATTACTGATGCAAGTAGTTCTGAGAAAATACTCAGGATGTGTCCAGATATCTTCCAAGGCTTAGGATGTCTTGAAGACAAGTACAGTATTCAGTTTGACCCAGAAGTGAAACCAGTAGTACATGCTCCACGAAAAGTTCCAATTGCCCTACATGAGAAAGTTCAAGTGGAACTTCAGCGAATGGAGGACTTGGGAGTGATCATGAAAGTGGAAGAGCCCACTGATTGGGTAAATTCTATGGTAGTCGTCCCTAAAGCAAGTGGTGAAATTAGGTTGTGACTAAACCTAAACCTAAATAAGGCGATACAACGTGAGCACTACAGAATGCCCAGGATACAAGATGTGACCTCAAAGATTGCTGACCACAAATACTTCACAGTCCTCGATGCGAAATCGTCATATTGGCAAGTACAACTTGACCACGACTCCTCCATGTTGACCACGTTCAACACTCAATGTGGTAGATATAGGTTCTTACGTCTTACATTTGGAATTAAAAGTGCCAGTGAAGTGTTCCAAAAGCAAATGGACAAAATCGTCAAAAAACTGAACTAAACTCACCCAATAGTAGATGATATTCTCATCAGTGGCAGAACCATTGAGGAACATAACAAGAACCTCTTGAGACTGAAAAAGAATGTGGTATCAAGTTGAATGCAGACAAGACTCAACTGTGTTTGCAGGAAGTGAAATTCTTTGGTGAAATACTTACCTCTGATGGCATGAAACCAGACCCGGATAAAGTTGAAGCAGTGCGCACAATGACAACTCCTACAAGCAAGAAGGAGCTTGAAGGTTATCTGGGAATGTTCACTTATCTTGCACAGTATTCCCCTTATCTTTCTGATGGGACGCAGGTTGAGAAGTGACTTACCGGTGCAATATGAAATGCTCAGACCTGAAGTTGTTGACTGTGATGCAGTGAAACAAGCAATCTCACAGTCACGAGAGACCCAGAAAGTCTACTATGATCAGAGTGCTCATCCAAGACCACCAATACAGGTGAATGACAGTGTGCGATTGAGGCAAGGGAAGGACTGGATCCCAGCTAAAGTTGTGAAATCTGCAAGCACTCCACGTTCTTTGGTAGTAAGAACTCAAGGTGGCTCAGAGTACCTACGGAACAAGCATGACCTGATTCCAACAAAGGAAAATCTTCCTGACGACTGCAGTACAATCCAAAGTCCTGATGGAACCACTCAAGGAGCAACTAATGCTACTCCAGAGAATGTTCCTGTACAGTTTCCAGACACTCCTCCAGACATGAATGTGTCGCAAAGCCTTGTTCCATCGAGGAACCCCATTGCATTCTCATCCAGTGGTCGACCAATCTTCAGACCACAGCAATTCTCTGAGTGACTCTAAAATTGCAATAATGGTTTTGATTGTGTTAAAGTTTATTGTGCTCAGAGTGTTATACAGTGATAGCTGTTTATGTGTTTGGAGATATTTTACCTGGGCTTCAATTAATTAATACTATTCATTGTTTTAGTATTAACCCAGTCTATATCCAATTCATCTGAAATTCCACTTTTGTTAGATCCAAGGTGTCAGCCACCATGTGGAGCACATGTGTTGATCCTGATCCGAGTGAACCAGATTTTTGAGCCTTGTGAATTGACTTTGTGTACCAGACCCGACTTGTTTCAACTGTTATTAAACGTACCCATGAACCACGCAACAAATGGTCCCGCGAGCCGGATAATAGTTGAAAATGAGTGACACTCGACGAAGTAAGAGACAGCGTCGAATTCCTCAACATTTGCAGGACTATCTGCATAGTGTACCTGATCCAAGTGAACATATTCAGGATGATGTCAGGTCAGTGACTTCTGTAATTCCTTCCCGCTCATGTTTTTCTGATTTTTCATCTACCGCTTCCTCAAATTTGTCAGAAAAACAACAAGCTGAGTTACAGAAAATTAAAGCAGCACAGAAATTATGTGAACTGAAAAAACAACATGAAGAAGAAATTCTTCATGATAAAATGAAAGATAAGCTTGATGAATGCTTGAGAGAAAAGCAGAGAATTCAATCATCACTGCAGAGACATCGTCAAATGAGGCAAGTAGAAGCTGAATTAGAAATGGCATCCGTTATTCATGGTATGGTTTCTGAAAATGATAAGGACATTGTTTTACCAATTAAGACTGAAACTGACATTGATGATAAATTAAATGTTAATGCATTTGTGTCTGAAGTGTCAAAGGTCACTGGTGCTACAAATATCACTGACAGTATCAGTGCCAGTGTTCCAGCTGGTGTGGTATCAAGTCTCAATGCCAATGCAAAGGAATTCAACTTACAATTTGGAGTGCCAATTTCTTCTCAGAATGTTGAATTTTCATTACCTGACATTACTTCATTGAACTTGAACTCGAATGTTACAGCTTCCAAAGTGTCAACTACGCCTGTTACCATGACAAGAGTCTCAACATCTGAAACCTCAGGGACAGCCTCCTGTCCTAGTACCAAGACAACTGAGCCAACCACATCTGTGTTCACATTTGCAGAGCCAATCTCTGTAAAGTCGGAGGTAATATCAACTCACAATTCAAGTGGTGCCATTCCAAAGAAACCTCAGGTTATCATGAAACAGAAATATGAACATAAACCAGTAAAACCCCAACATGTGTCAAATGTCACATATCCTGGTCACATGTCTAGTCTAGACTTTCCAAATGTCTCACCCTACAAGCCAGTGTTTTCACAATATGACCCAGTTGTGCCTCCATATCAGACAGGAATGTCTACATTTCATACATATCCAACATACACAAGTGGTATTAATCCAATGCCAAGCATTCCACAAATAATACCTCAACCAAATGTCATGCCACAAGCCTGTAGTTACTATCCCCAACAACAACAGCCAATTGCTAATGCACCAAATTATGAACTTCTTCTATCAGCATATGGGGTGCCAAAACCAAGATTACCCATGTTTATCAGTGGTAAAGAGAAAGTCTCCTTGATATTCACCCACAGCTCAGTGAAAGGTATAAATATGGAGTGCTCCTTGACCGTTTAGGAGGTAAACCACTCACCCTCGCTACCAGTTTTCTCCGTCATCCCACACCTTACACCAAGGCTGTTGAAGCATTGAAGGAGAATTATGGGCAATATCATAACCTAGCTAGAGGCGAGATCAATCGCATATTGACTCTCCCCACTATCAAACCTGGTGATTACGAAGCTTTTGACAACTTCGCCTTATCAATTCAGTCCCTTGTCGGATTGTTGACATCTGTAGATGGTAATGACTGCTATGAGCTGAAAACTGCCTCACATGTTGACACACTTCTTAAGAAGTTGCCAGGCTCCTTACGTGACAACTTTGTCGAGTACTGTTTGAATAAAGGGGTGATCAGTAATACCAAAAACTATGATCTTGTATCCTTTTCACAGTGGTTGAATGTCAAGTCAAGGGCAAGAAGGATTGCAGCTCATGCAGTTGCCGACAAGACAAACACCACTAAGTCAGATTCAAAAACAAAACAAGCTACAGCTATGCTCAACACACCTACCGGGTACAAAACTCCGAGTACGTCTTACCAATCTTACTGTGCCTATTGTAACAGCAAGGACCATCACGTGAATGCATGTGAAAGTTTCCACAAGTTGGAAACAAGGGATGTACTTCAATGGATAAAGGACAAAAACAGGTGCATCCGTTGTGGCAGAAATCATAAAGAGCAAGACTGCAACCTTAAGAAACCATGCCGAGAGTGCAAAGGTCGACATCTAACCATACTTCATGCTATCAATAAACTGAACAATATTACTGTGAAGAAGACAACTTCATTCTATCTAGACAATCCCAACAATGTGATGTTGAAAATTGTTCCTGTAACATTACATGGCAAATGTGACATTGAAACTTTTGCCTTGCTGGATGATGGGTCAATGCGAAGCATGATCTTGTCATCTGCGGTGAATGACCTTGAACTGTCAATAAAACCTGACTCCATATTGTTGACAACGATCCAATCTGAACCTTTTCCTTGTGATGGTCATAGAGTGAACCTCTCTATTTCATCCCCCTTTGATCCAGATACAAAGCATGAAATCAAAAATGTGTTCACCTCTGAACAAATGAACCTGTCCAACTATACATATCCTGTCAAAGACATTCAGGAAATATATCCTCACCTAAAGAACCTGCCTCTACCAGCCATCAGTGATGCCAAGCCTCTAATCTTGATAGGATCAGATAATGCTGACTTGATATTGCCCTTGCAACCAGTCAGAGCTGGACCTCAAGGAACTCCAGTGGCCATCTACACAAGACTAGGGTGGTCACTGCAGGGACCATGTGCCTTTGAACCTAACAGAAAGCAACACTGCTTCCTGACTCGAACTTTACACGAACCTCAACTCCAGATCACTGATGATGTTGAGAGGCTATGGAAGATCGACATCTTGCCATACACCACAAAACAGGTGACTCGATCCAAGCTAGACCATTTTGCCTTCAAAACCCTTGAGGACAAAACCGTCAAAGTGACAGTAGATAGTGAAATCCACTTCGCCACTCCTCTTTTCAGAATACCTGACAAGACTGTACTCAAAACAGGTAAAGAGTCTGTGTTAGAGAACATGAGAAGAACTGAGAGAAGACTCAGCAAGCATCCTGACATAGCATCCATACACAATGAGAAAATCCAAGAACTTGTTGTCAAGGGATATGTCAAATTGATAAGTGAAGAAGAAGCATCTTCAACACCAGAGTCCTGGTTTATCCCACATCACGTTATCGCACAACATGGTAAACACAGACTGGTATTCAATTGCTCATACGAATATCAGAAACTTTCACTGAATAAGCAGTTACTTCCAGGACCGACACTAGGTGCCTCCTTACTCGGGGTGTTTTTGAGATTTCGCCAACATATCATAGCTGTGTCAGGAGACATCAAAGCTATGTTTCATCAGATTCGACTGTTGCCTGAAGACAGAAACCTGCTTCGTTTCATTTGGAGGGAAATGGATACAGAGAGGGATGTCTCAATATATGAATGGCAAGTATTACCATTCGGTACAACTTGTTCACCATGTTGTGCCACATATGCAATTCAGAGACTGGGCACAGAAAACAAAGAGGAATATCCTGATGTGCACCAAGCAGTTAAAGATTCCTTCTATGTTGACAACTGCTTGTCTGGATTCCCTTCAGTTGATAAGGCCAGGGAGTTCATCAGTAGACTACGTCATGTTATGAAGTCTGGTGGATTCAATATCCGACAGTGGATAAGCAATGATCCTGACGTTGTTAAGGACTTGCCCAGTGAAGCCAGATCTGAAACTTGTGAATTGTGGCTCATGCAAGGCAACACTGAACCACACGAAGGAACTCTTGGCCTTCAATGGCAATGTGAAAAGGATCGTATCACTTACAAGTACAGACCCATTGCATATTCTACTCTGACACTGAATGTAGTATATAGGATACTAGCAAGTCAGTACGATCCTCTTGGATTCCTCACACCTTATCTAGCAAGAGCCAAAGTCATCGTTCAGCAACTGTGGCAACACAAACCTCAGTGGGGAGAACCACTTCCAGAATGTGAACTTCTCACAGAATGGCATCTGTGGGAATCTGAACTGAAACTTATGAACCAAGTCTCACTTCCAAGATGCATTGATCCACCTGAACCAGTCAATCAGAGACAGTTACATATTTTCTGTGATGCATCAGAAAAAGTATATGGTTCTGTCGCATACCTCAAGTCAGAGACCAATGATGGATCATCTCATGTCTCCTTTGTTGCAGCACGAAGCAGAGTAGCTCCTAAGAAAGCCCTCTCAATGCCCCGCCTTGAACTGTTAGCTGCTCTAACAGGAGCCCAGCTTGCCAGCACACTCACCAGTGAAATGACCATTGACATTCACAAAGTGATCATGTGGAGTGACTCAACAACTGTCCTAGCATGGTTGACGTCCCAATCATGTCGCTACAAAGTGTTTGTGGGAACTCGAGTAGCAGAAATTCAAACACTTACTGAATATCATGACTGGAGATATATCCCGTCAGAGGAAAACCCGGCTGATGATATCACCAGAGGAAAGACACTGCAGGACTTGTGTGCAGAGACAAGATGGAGAAATGGCCCAGCATTTCTAAACCTTTCAGATACTGAATGGCCTCTCAGTAATGCAAAACCAAAACCTGAAACTGATCCCTGTAGTGTTGAACTAAAGAAAGCCTTCTGCAGTCACATCACAGTTCAACCCAAAGCTGATACATCTCTACATCGATCATGGGAAAAACTCCTTGATGCCACAATCAATACTATCGAGGATCCCGATGGGGCGGCCTCCATCAATGTTACTGATGTTGAGAAAGCTGAACTACAATTGTATCGCCAAGCTCAGGAAGAATGCTTTCCAGATGAAATGAAAGCATTATCCAAAGGTCTGAGAATAGCATCTAACAGCAGGCTCTCGCAACTCAGTCCAGAGTATGATAAAGACCATCACGTCATACGTGTTGGTGGTAGACTGAGAAGATGTGATAACTGTCAATCGATGTAAAACATCCCATTGTTCTAGATCCAAATCATAATGTTACGAAGCTTCTCATAAAGAAATATGACTCTGACCTCCACCACTATGGTGCTGAAAGACTACACGGTGAAATCAGAAGAAAATTCTGGATTCTTCGAGGCCGTGAAGCTGTTAAAAAACATCAGAGACAATGCCATGATTGTCAGAAAGGGAGAGCAAATCCAGTGATTCCTTTGATGGCCGACCTACCAGAGGCTCGGCTAAGACTGTTCAAACCACCCTTCTATTCGACAGATAGACATTTCATTTAAAAGTGTGACACTTAAAGTAGTGTTATCCTTATTTTTAGCTTATGGAAAAAAGGGGATGTAATGGATCCTGTTTCGTTTACAGATTCCAGTTTTATATGTATTGTTGATTGGAGATTGCCGGACCAAGTTTTTGTACTTATCTTCACATGGCCGAAGTAAAGTTGGCTCGTATTGAGCTCGAGTTTTGTCATTAATACAAAGGTATTACAAATACCATGTCAACAAATCTGTACTGGAGTACACAATGTAATCTTGTAATTCCACTGTCTGGTTATAAGAAGTGTTCAATGTATATCTGGACTTATGTTTCTTACTTATTTCATTAATTTTTTTCAAAATTCCGTTTAATATTGTTTAAATTAATTTCAGCGAAATCGTGTGTGAAACGATCGGAAGATCGCATAACTCACTGTTATTAACAGCAACTACAGATTACCGCTATTGGTGCCTTGAAACAAATTTTAGTTGACAGAGAATTGATACATACATCATAAATGCCATACTTTGACTTGTAAAAAGTCATTTTTGTTGTAGTTTGACGATTCTATGTCAACCTGTAGTTCTCGAGATCACGCGCATGGAAGACTCGACGATGACTGGCCAAATTGTTCCATGTGAAAAAAAATAATCGGCAATAGTGATCAGCTGCACAGAAGTGCTACACTTAGGGTCATTATTATTTTTAAAATATCTTGTAAAAGCTGTAACTAAAATAACATGATATTGGAATATATTATGCCTGATAAAATAATACTTTCAGATACAAATTTTTAAACTTATCCTATCTCACACTATGCATTTCCTCTTATTCTTCAAATTCTGATGTGGAAACGTCCTAGAACAAAGTTTCCAGCTTCAAAAACATCAATCACCCCAACACATCCCACACATCACCAAATCACCACTGAGATCATGGGTCATGCACCACTGCAATCCCATGCGGCACGACCCCAGCGATCTGGTCACCTGACATATTCAAGCACACTCATTCTCAATTCTATCGCCTGAATGTTAAGACGTCACTTGAACAGAGAATTTTTGTTGTAATCTAATAAACGATATGGAGTCATCACGCCCCCTCTGCTCCGACTGCCATAGTCTGTTTTCCCCTCTCGATCCCCACCTCAGTTGTTGTGATTGTCGTGGGGTATGTGACATTGCAACACGTTGTACACAGTGTGCAAACTTATCGGAATCAGATTTCAAAACTTACCTACGCCAGTGCTCCAAACGATCAACTGATCGTAGATCCAAAGCATCAAACTATTCGAGGGAGCACAGTCCTTCCTCCGTGAAGAAACCCAACCGACAAGTAATATCTCATGTGAATATGCCTTCATTGTCTTGCAAGAAGGGGAATAAATCTACTAATTTGGCAACAGTTACTTCGCTTTCCGTAGAGGAAGATTTGTTGTCCGGCTCGTTTTTGAATGCTGACATTCCCGCTTGTAAACAGACCACGCCCCCTGCACGTGACAGCTCGCTGTCTCCTACAGTCGTCCCGCTATCAACTGACCACCGGACTGTACTGTTGTCTGAGCCTTCCCCCCTTCGTTTGAAGATGGGAGTCTCCCTTGACCAAACGTTGGGAAAATCTAAACATCGAGCTGAGGGGTGCCCTTCCCCCCATCCCGAGTGGGATTCGTCTCTTCTTCGCTCCATGCGCGATCGGGATACAGTTACAGCTCTTCCGACTTCCAATGGGGATAGCTCATGTGAACGAAGGGCGGTCGGGTAGCCTAGTGGTTAAAGCGTTAGCTCGTCACGCCGAAGACCCGGGTTTCAATTCCCGACATGGGTACAATGTATGAAGCCCATTTCGTGTGTCCCCCGCCGTGATATGGCTGGAATATTGCTAAAAGCGGCATAAAACCTCACTCACTCACTCACTCACTCATGTGAACGAGAGCTGGATGATCGGCATTGTAGCAGAGAAACCAGCGTTCTCCGTCGGACAACAGAGCTTCCAATACAATGTCGTCATCCTTTGTTGGATCCCGAGCCATTAAGGGATCTACGGAGCAATGACTCGCCAAATCGCTTTGCTTCACTTTTATCGACAAATCGCCATTCCTCCATGGAAAGTCGCTGCTCCTCGTGAGATTATTTTGTCGATATTTCACCAGATCATACCTAAGTTGATCAGCAGCTCGCTTCCTCTACAGATCGAAACCTGAGGAATCGACACTCTTGTTCTTAATGCCACTAAGGTCTTCTTCTGAAACTGTTCCAAAAAGGAAACTTAATGCTTTCCCAATAAATAGTAAGACAGATCTACAGTGTTTATTCAGTAACCGATGTATAACTAGTGCTGCCACACTTGGATATGAAGGAATGATAAGGGTTGTAACGAACCACCTTGATTGAGTTCAAGTGTTGGCATTCTACTTTTGAAAAATGATGTTTTCGAACGTCAATGTACCATGGGCTACGCCAACTAGAACGAATAAAATCACCCATGGTGTGTTCTGAAAAAACCCACAATATTTGAATCATATGGTATCATAAATATACACTAAGATAATACAACAACATCTGTTACCAATATCATAGATTCTCTTTCAGAATAAATCCTCCTTGGGGCACTTATTGCATTTTCCTTGCTCAAGAAAATCTACATGACAGTTAATAAAAAATGTTACCACACAAAAAACTTCGTTTTTGTATGATATACAACCACCTTTACAGTGCCTCACCCTCCACGGCGCCCCACGCCAGGGGGAGTAACTCTCACCCATATCACTTTCCTTTATGTCTTTCGACTGACAAGACGTCTGATTTTTCAAGAAAGTTTTCAAAGAGGAACCTAATCGTTCACTGAGAGACCATGGCTGACCAAACTGTATGTATGGTACATTTCTTTCCTTGCAAAGGCATAATACCTCGCATTGTAAAGTTATAGAGTTGTAATTCGATAGAAGAAACGCCACATGCACGGTACATTTGAATTCAAATGGCCGTAATGGCGTCCATTGTGTTGTCTGACACATGTAACACCAAGGCCATCAAAACGGCTTGGTTTTTTGTTATATCATACAGAATTGAACTACAGGTTTTCCTTTACATAAACCCAAGGTGGTGTGCTAGATTATAACTACACTTACCTTTTTTACGGGTTTTACACCTTAGCGCGTAACACGCCCCTTTGGTGTTATAATTATACTACGGACATTGGCTATTAGTATCGCGTTACAAATCGCATTCAACATTACGCCTTTGCTTCTGTTTTCACAATTTTGCATGTATCTTTCCGATCTTTATATCGCACTGGTACACTATTTTCCCGTCCCCCGCCCAACTCAGAATTTACGGTCTTTTTTACAGACCTTCAAACTTTGTTCGGGATGTGGGCTGAATATCCCAGCCCAGGACTAGGACCCAAGCTGCCTGAAGTGTTTGATAGAAGAGGGTCTTCAAGAGGACTATGAAGCGTCGGCATGCCGACCCTATCTACTTTAAGGGTTTACTTGAGGCAGGGGTGGACATTCACTCCAAGAAGGCCATTCTCCCCCCCCCCCCCCCCCGTATGTCTAAAAAGCGTGAAAATAAGGCAAAATCAACGCCTTCTGCTACTGTCTCCTCCGCCCCTTCTCCATGGGCAAGGATAGGGCTCTAGGGTCCCGGAGGTACCTAGCTCTAAGCCGCGTAAGTGGACCTCTCCCCTTGACTCTTCCCACACTGACACGCTGGGTCAGAAGTCTGCACCTGCTTGGAAGCAGCCGCTTCCTTCAGGTAAAAGTGCAGGGAGAGGCAAGAGATCTAGAGGCAAGGGCTGGGGCAAGGCAGCTGGTCGAGGCCAGCAGCCTTTTCGCGGGGCCTGGGAACCCCTCGGGTTCCCATTAGTGCCCGAAGAGCCCCGGGATGACCTACAGTCACCAGTTCTCGAACTTCAAACAGCCGGGATCCACTGCCTCAATCTGGATGTCCCCGTAGGCGGCCAACTGGCTCTATTCCTCAAGGAATGGGAGACAGTTACATCCAATCCCTGGACCATGTCCACTATCAATGATGGCCATTTGCCTCGGTGGAAACACCATCCACCCACCTTCTCCGGGATAAAGCACACCCCGGTGCCTGCTACCCAAGAGAAGGCGGAGTTGCTCCTCACCGAGGTCGACGCACTTCTTATGAAAGCTGCGATCGAACCGGTTCCCAAGGGACAGGAAAACGAGGGCTTCTACTCGACATATTTCCTAGTCACGGAGGGTTCAGACCTACAAGGGGTGTTCATTAAAGATTTCCCCTAAACCACTTAGGGTTATCATATTTGGTTGAAATTTCACATGTGTAATGATACATGTATCTATGGGTTATGTCTGAATTTGCAGCACAGAACTATTAATCTTACCACTTTTACAGGTGTTATGATCGAGTAGGTTGTGACAGTGGAGCCAGTAGAATACCGAGCAGTGATTAGGTTTTTATATTTGAAAGGTCGCACACCAAAAGAAACTTTCGATGAAATGAAAGCAACTTATGGGGAAGATGCCCCATCATATGACGTTGTTAAACACTGGCATCGCCAGTTCAAGTGTGGTCGGACATCTGTGGAAACAGCTGCCATTCCTGGTCGCCCCCATTGATGAGGACACTATCCATCAAGTGGAGACCGCCATTTTGGCAGACCGACGTATAACTGTTCACCAGTTAGCACAAGATGTCAAGATCAGTGTAGGATCTGTGGAAAAAATCATCCATGACAATTTGAACATGCATAAGGTGTCTGCACGATGGATTCCCAGGCTGCTCACACCTTTCCAAAAGCAGGAACGAGTCAATTGCTCAAAGGATCTTTTGGACATATGCCAAAATTACCAGGCAAACTTTTTTGACAGACTTATCACACAGGATGAAACGTGGGTCCATCACTATGATCCTGAGACTAAAGTTCAGTCGATGCAATGGAAGCATGTGGAG